CCCACGGTGTGATGGAACGCTCATCCACGGCAGACGCTGGTCTTGTTCTCCAAGCACCCTTTTATTTTCCTACGGCTGTACATGGGGTCGGCTTGGAGAGAATTCCCCAGCACGTGGACAGTCTCTTTTTCGGGTTATCTCTGTATGATTAACACCAGCACACGATTTGCAGACTGGAAGAAGAAGAAGCGTCAGGTCGACGCCATGGTGGACTCTCAAGAGAGGCGGCAGCGCGTTTGCTTTTCGTTTTCTTTGGCTTTGGCTCTGGCTCTGCCCATTGGTCGCGGGTGGACCTCGAGGATTGGCGGCTCTGGATTCGGCATGCATGAGGGCGGTGGAGTTTTTGGCACGCGCGACGACAAAAAAAAAAGTGTTTTTTCATGAGTGAGCCAGCGAGGCTCAGGAAAACATGACTCTACACACATTTTTTCCCCTACATTTTCAAGGCGTGGCAGGGGGACGTGGAACCACGTCGTACAGGACGGCAGCGTGGCGATGAACTATGATGAAGGAAAGGGGGCAGGGGGCCGAAGGATGGTATGGGACGGACGAAAGGGGTTGGTAGGCAAAGGAAAGGACATGGTCATCAAGCGTACCTCGGTGGAAGAGCACCTCGAGCGGATGGTTTGGGATGGAGCTTAGTCTGCAGCCCAGGAATAGACCCTGACGAGCGCTGTGGTTCCATGCCTTGTGATGATGCTTTGCTTGGTGATCAGCTCTGTGCACCTGAGGTTGTAAGCTGCTCAAGGTACCTGAGATTCAGATGCTTGAGGTACCTACACAAGGTACCTAAGATTCGGGTGCTTGGGGTGCCTACATAGGTACCTTATCTACCTAGGTACCTAAGGTAAAGGCAAGGTACGGTAGCTACCCCGCCAAAGGAAGCGTGCCCCACCACAGCCCACCAAACGTCATGGCCCGGCGTGACGCAGGGGCGAACCGTCGATGATTTCCTTCTCTACCTACAGCCTGAAGAAATCATCGAGCGGATGTCATTGCCTGCCACAAAACCCACGTTGCCATCCTTCAGTTCATTGCGGCCTGCATTTTACTTTCTTCTCTAGTCACATCACCACAGGGAGCAGCACCTCTGCGCATACATCCCCATGTCGAGCCGCCAGCTGCGCAAGATCCAGCAGCAGCGCGAGCTGCAAAAGCTTGAGGAGGGCAAGTCGGAGGCCAGCGACGGCGAAGATGACGAGCCAATGGTACCTGCACCAAAGCCGCGCGTCAGCCTCTTCGCTGCCCTGGGCGGTGATGACGACGACGACGACGATGACGAAGATGAAGACGGAGACGGCAAGAAGCAGCACGACCAGTCAGACGCCGACGACGACAGCAGGCACACGCGCCGGGAAAAAAAAACGCCGAGCCCGAGGCCGTGCCCCAGCCTGTTGAGGAAGAGCAAAAGGAAC